ATTGTCCATAGTTAATCGCGATTAATCGCAAATTAATCGCACATTTTTTATCTGTTCTAAATGTACCTTAGAGGGATATTTTTCAAGTTTTTAATACTCTTATCAACATATGAGTGGACAACTATGCTTTATATGTTTGTTTATTATCATTTGAACAATGACAAATATTCTCATGAATATTAAACACAACAACCTCTGAACATTACAAATATTTGCCTCAATTCAACCTGGAACCTCTCTCATACAATACTGTGTGTGTGTGTGTGTGGAGGATCGTTGGAGCTATGTGCAGCTCAAGGCATATATGCCTGTGTGTATGAGCTGTGTTGCGGCACTATCCGTGCTGAGTGTGCTGTCTGTCTACCTGCATAAAGTCAAGTGCTCGGCGCAGTTGTCGGCGAAATGTCGCTCCTCTGTTTTCATTGAAACAGCTCCTTATATCCGTTAGCTCAGCTAGCTAGCACCAGATGCTAACAACACGTAAGGTGTGCTTCGCTCGCGCCACACATACACACACCCTCCCGGTCCTCCCGATGGCCAGTCCGGGCCTGCCGGTGAGCGTGGAAGTGTGGTCTGCCACAAGCGGGCAGCAGGAGCGGGGCTGTCAGCATCAGCTTGTAGATGGTATTTTAAACTCGATGCGCTCTGAAACTACGGCGGCCGAGGACAAAAAATACACATGCGTTAATCGCGTTAAAATAATTAGTGGCGTTAATTTTTTTTTGCGTTAACGCGTTATTAACGCGTTAACTTGACAGCCCTAATATATATATATATATATACAGTTTAGTTTATGATTCAGCCTTGGGTAAGACTTTTATAGTATATGGCTATGACGCCCATAATGCTAAACGGGAGCAAATGTTAAAAGGGGACCCAATTATCCCAGTGGTGGCCGCCGGAGCTAACGGAGCCGCAGGGGGCTAGCTCCAGCCTGCGGCGTTATAACTGGAGATCAAGGAATGCAGCAAAACACGGACTTGGTTCGCCTGCAGCCCGCTGTAGTATTAGCTAAATAAATTATGTTGAACAAGGCTTATTAAGCTGAACATCGCCAGAATTGTTCTGCTATGTATCGGTACTTATTTTATTTTATTAACGTGATGACAAGCATTAAGAATAACACAAAATAGCTAATTCTCTTGCAGATTGTCTCGTTTGATTATGAATGTAACATTTATATAGGGGAACTACACTGTTTTATCAAAACCGAAGTGCCACGCAGTAACTTGGTATGCATGTATTTCATGTTAGCTTAGCTTCTTAGCCTGAGCTAGCTCTGTTTACTTCCAGTTCGGAGGCAGCAGGTCCCGCCTCGGCTCCGCCTCTTTGCCCTTATTTGGAGCAGGCTGGAGCAGGCGGGAGTTATGGCGCAGTTCCACTACAGCGCGGAGCTCGCTTTAAGCGTGCCGTGTCGTGCCGTGCCCGTTTTTGGTTGCGCTTCCACTAGGCCTAGTTCCGGCCCGGCCCGGGGCCACTTTTTCACGTCTTTTCTGGCCCGAGAAAATTGTGGTTCTATCGAGGCCAACAAACAGGGCTGAGTCGGGCTGAGTATGCTAAACTAGAGAGAGGAGCGCTGGCAAGGGGGCTACAACTACAACAAGATGGACATATTTGACCGTGATTTAATTGTAATACACGTTTCAAAATGATGCCGAAGTAACAACATACTGATACCGGTTAGTAAAAACCATGAATTAATGCTTTGTCAAGTCTGCAGACAGGCGGCAGGCGAAAAACCTTTTAAAATGCGTGTTTTTCTAGATGGAGATTGGCTAAGCTAACGCAGTATATGCTCCGACCGTCCACACTCACAACAACGGCCTATACAGACATAAATAAAGCAGTGACTGTATTCACCATGACACAGGCAGTCTGTGGTGTGTACTTGTTTAACTTTTGTCGAGTTTCTGAACATATATAAGGAGCTGTGAGCTCTGAGTGCTAACAGCTAACGGCTGTGTTGTGTTTCTGGAGTTCTCATTGAAGATGACGTCACGGCTCCGCCTACACTGCGTTACTATAGTAACTACCCCAGTTCCTAAACTGTAATGGAAGCGCAGCATGAAGTGAGTCGGCCCTGTTAAGGCCAAGCCGTACCGAGCCGTACCGAGCGTGGCCGAGGCCGACCGTGTAGTGGAAATGTGCCATTAGACTCTGACGTCACTGTCGAGCCGTTAGTGGCCGACTCCGCCTACTAAGGGCTTCTCGGCAACTCTGCAGAATCCTATGGGTGATGTCACGGACACTACGTCCATTTATATATACAGTCTATGTTCTTGACATGAGAACAGTTTCCCAGCGGAGTGAAGAAAACACATGAAACTCACAAGAGTCACTCCTCAGTTTATACTGTGTTTTGTTTCAATGAATGTATCATTTAGTTACAAATATGTGATATATCTGAACAACAAAGTGGTCAAAAATCATTTTATTGATTTATTGGAAACATTTTCATTATCACTTTTTTCGTTTTACATTTTCATTTATTGTCATTTCCATTCAGTCAGTCATAAGTACTATTTAACATGTTAATTTGCTACATATCCACACAAACAAACAAAGTGTGCAGTCCAATGAATGTTAATTTAACTGGGTTTTGATAGATAACATATCTCTTTTTCTTCTCTGAATTATTTTATTTCTATTGTAATCAATATTAATCTAACTATTGTTCGTTTATACATTTTAAGAATGGCGTTTATCTTTTTTGAGAATAAGTTCTTATTGTATTTAATGTATTTGGGTCTACAACAGATGATACAAATGTTTATGTCAGTAAATGTGTACTAACAGAGGCAGGGGTGTTTGTGAAAACAACGGGGTCATCAAAACTCATTTCCCTGCTTCCCTGCTTTACTAACTGTATATCTGTAGACTTGGTATGTCTTAAATGTCCGGTTAGGATGTATTAGAACGAAATCTAAAATTAAAATTGTAATTAAGCCATCTGTATGTAAAAAACCTCCTGTATGTAAATTGTAAATAAGCCATCTGTATGTCAAATATGTCTATGTCTTAAATGATATGATGAATTGGAAATGGGGGACCCTGATGTAAACAAGACGAAAGTATTTCTCTGGTCTGCATCCCCTTAACAATTGTATGTTTTGAGCTGTACTGTACTGTACCCAATATACAAGCTGTTAATAAACTTTTCAATCAATCAATCAAACTCGTGGTTTGCGTCTCTCCATGCTTCCCTGGTGGGAGGGACTAAACGCAGGGAAACGACGTAAGTGAGGGACGCAAGGATTCAATTTAACCGACCTGAGATGCAGCCTTTCAGTTGCGCGCGCTAGGGAAGAGACGCGCTACCATGGAAACCAAACAATTATGTAGCTGTATTAAAGTCCGAGTGGAAACAGTCCTGAGAGTAAATCTGATTTACAGTAGTCAGAAATTGGGAGGAATGCGGGAGAAATATGACCCCGGGAGGAAACCGGGAGAGGGCAATGAAATCGGGAGTCTCCCGCGAAAATCGGGAGGGTTGGCAAGTATGCTTTAATGATCAATAATTATAAAACATAGGCCTATATATTATTCTGAAATTGACCAATCTGCACAATGACTACTTTTACTTTTGGTACTTTAACTATATTTTGATGATAATACTTTTCTACTTTTACTTGAGTAACATTTTGAATGCAGGACTTTTACTGTAACAAAATATTCCTACACTCGGGTACTTCTGCTTATACTCAAGTACAAGATCTGAGTGCTTCTACTTTTACTCAAGTACAAGATTTGAGTACTGTTCTGTGTACTGCAGTACTCACCTGAGTTGAAGTACAGCCAGTGGTAGAGGTTGCTGCCGTCGATCAGCAGCCGGCAGTGAGAGAGGCGGCGATCCCGGTAGATCCTCCGGTGTTTCTCCAGCAGAGTGGTCAGGCCTTGGACTCCCATCCTGGGCAGAGAGTTACGGAGGAGCCGGTGGGGGGGCTCCGCTCTTATAGGAGCTGCTGCACCTCCTCCCTCCCTTAAGTTTCACTTTCCTCACATCACAGCAGCTCCCAGTCTCTGCCTTCTCTCCACCGTGTTAAGCCATTATTTAAAAAATATTTAGTCTTTATTTTGAGAAATTAATTCATTCTTGAGATATTAAGTCATTATTTTTAATATTAAGTCATTATTTTGTAATATTAAGTCATGTTTTGTAATATAAAGTCTTTATTTTGTAATATCAAGTCTTTATTTTGTAATATACAGTTTTATTTTGTAATATAAAGTCTCTATTTTGTATTATTCATTCATTATTTTGAGATATTAACTCATGTTATTTAAAAAGTTCCTCATTTAAATGACTTACTTGCCTCCCTTGGCAGGAATGTTTTTGTAAAGTTTGGAAACGGAAAGTGAAACTCAAAGGAATTACTCGTTTTAAACTCCATACAGTCTATGGTTTGACCCCAAGTGCTCCTTTGGCAAGCGGTCACAGGTCCTGGAACCACCTCGATGGAAAATGGGTCAAATCTACTCCAGGGGGGCCACTTAATAATTGTTGAATGTTTTGGAAGTTTTTGTTAGATATATGAACTCAACAGACAAAGCAACAACCCTACTCTTAATATGATTTATTTATTTGTAAATCATGTATTATTTGATCAATAAATTAATTTTAACAGCTTTCTTTTACACATGTTCCATATGTAACCTTAACTATTGTGTGTGGTGATAAACTAAAATGTCATGGGGACATACAGATTCGGCCTTTAATGGTCCAAGGGCAGGGCAGATGAATACAACTATGCCATGAATGGAGGAGAGACGTTGGTATAATTATTACTATTCACCAAAACATTATTCAACAATGTTTAAACAAACTAACTCCATGTCCGGTTTTGCAAACTTTATTGTTGGTGTCAGAAATCACCATTTATTGATTCCCTACCGACCTGACCTGAGATCAGTCTCTATCTTCCCGCCCACCACACTCACGTTATCACTTGCCTGTCTGCCCGCTTCTCATTAACATAGGCTAATGATCATGCAGCTACACACCGGGAGGTTTCACAGGTTAAATCAAACGTCCCTCTCTCTGGGAGCAGCGTTTCAGGTGAGGAAGCAGCAAATGGAATGCAGTCCAACATGAGGCCAATCATGACTCTCGTGGTGCTGCTACTGCTAGCGGTGTGTTTCCTCTGTGTGTGTACGCTCTCACATGTGGAGGAGATGAAGACCCAGGAGCGGCTCTTCCTCAGCTCTCTGGGGCTCTCCGGGCTGCCTCAGCCGGCGGGGAGCCACCAATCCCGGCGCCATGTCTCCTCCGCGGTCTGGAGGATGTTCCGGAGGTCAGAGAACATGAAGGCTCGGGAGAGCGACCCCTGCACGGTGTCAGAGTACGGAGTCTGCGGCAACATCATCCGATACGTTCAGGAGGACCAAGGTAAGATGATGTTTAATGTGAATTAGAGGACAATTGTGCTCCTAAAACCAGAATCTAGACGTTTGAAGTGTAGTTCCTTACACATATCCAGGACTCCTACGTCATTAAATGCAGAAAACATGCATTGCTTTAAAGATCCAGTTATGAAAATATGCACTCCACATCTTCATTTAATACAAATGTTTGAAAACATCAAGACATGACATGTTTGTACTCCAGCCAGTACAATAGACATATCAATAAATGTAGGTGAAAGTTGAATAAATTATATGTGAGACAGCATTATCAACAGACCCAACTTGAACAGCTCACTAAATATCTTTTTGCATTTTCAAGTTTCAAGGCTTTTATTGTCATGTGTGCATAGCTAAAGTGTAGTTATGACAATGCAAATATTAGGTCACAGGCTCCTCCAACAGTGCAACACAATAAAACAGATAAAATATTACATCATTAAGTAAATTAAATAGAACAGAATATGATAGAAACTGTGCAGAATAGTCTATATACAGTCATTTGAATATTGATATATATTATATATGAGTTGCAAACAGATGAATGTTATGTATGCAGTGTTTCCCCTACCATTGTCTTGGCGGGGCGCTGCACACAGCAATGCAAAGCAGGAGTTTAGGTTTGACAAGTAAACACTGACCTCATGGAAACTCCAGCTGAGCTTTACACAACTCCAACAGGTGATCAGTCACATGACTAAAAACAGCAGTGTGTTGCATGGCTTTTATCTTCAGTGTTTGTCCTTGGTCTTTCAGTTGTTTTAAGGGTGTGGTTCCAGGCGTCTAACAAGTAACATGTAATGTAATAAAAGTAAACGAATGCACAAAAATGTCTCCAACAAACAGTCACTAAGAACGTACGTGAGGAACAAAGCGTTAACATTCATGAGACTAAAGAAACACAATTATCACGTTTTTTTAAATAACATTTTTACAGTGAATTCCACTTATTAAAACTCTTTTGTGTTTTCAATAACAATCGAACAGTGCATCACATTTTAATAAGGGCAAATAAGAAAAAACAAGTGCTGATCACCATTAATTAAAAATATACAATCTTGAGGGCATAAAGAGACGAAGAAAGAAATGTGCAAAAAGGTGTTGGCATTAAAATGTGTGCAGATTTAAAAAAGGAAGTGCTTCTTGTTTCAGAGTAACGTAAATATTATGTATCAGACTGATGTGAGGGACGTTAACGAGAGTCTGATGAACCCGGCTTGTTTTCCTCCCTTGAGCTCAGAGCAGGTCCCGGCCGCGGCGCTCCTCTTTGCGGGCCAGCTCCGGGTTCTTGCTCCGGTTCTTCCTGTGTTTCGCTCTGAAACGAGTTTTCACTGACAGCAGCTCGCTGAGGCGCAGATCCTCCTGCACCCACCCCGAGCTGTCGTCGTCGTCGTCGTCGTCGTCGTCGTCGTCCTCCTCGTCCTCGTCGTCGTCCTCGTCGTCGTCGTCCTCCTCCTCGTCCTCGTCGTCGTCCTCGTCCTCGTCCTCGTCGTCGTCATCCTCCTCCTCGTCCTCGTCGTCGTCCTCGTCCTCGTCCTCGTCGTCGTCGTCCTCCTCGTCCTCGTCCTCGTCCTCGTCCTCCTCGTCGTCGTCGTCGTCGTCGTCGTCCTCCTCGTCGTCGTCGTCCTCCTCCTCCTCCTCCTCCTCCTCGTCGTCGTCGTCCTCCTCCTCGTCGTCGTCGTCGTCCTCCTCCTCGTCGTCGTCCTCGTCGTCGTCGTCGTCCTCGTCCTCGTCGTCGTCGTCGTCGTCGTCGTCGTCGTCGTCGTCGTCGTCGTCGTCGTCCTCGTCGTCGTCCTCCTCCTCGTCCTCCTCGTCCTCGTCCTCGTCCTCCTCGTCGTCCTCCTCCTCCTCCTCGTCGTCGTCGTCGTCGTCGTCCTCCTCGTCCTCCTCCTCGTCGTCGTCGTCGTCGTCGTCCTCGTCGTCCTCGTCCTCGTCCTCGTCCTCGTCCTCGTCGTCGTCGTCGTCGTCGTCGTCGTCGTCGTCCTCGTCGTCCTCCTCCTCCTCGTCGTCGTCGTCGTCGTCGTCGTCCTCGTCCTCGTCGTCGTCCTCGTCGTCGTCCTCCTCGTCGTCGTCCTCGTCGTCGTCCTCGTCCTCGTCGTCGTCGTCGTCGTCGTCGTCGTCGTCGTCGTCGTCGTCGTCGTCCTCGTCGTCGTCGTCCTCCTCCTCGTCGTCGTCGTCGTCCTCCTCGTCGTCGTCGTCCTCCTCGTCGTCGTCCTCCTCGTCCTCGTCGTCGTCCTCGTCGTCGTCCTCGTCCTCGTCCTCCTCGTCGTCGTCGTCGTCCTCCTCGTCCTCGTCGTCCTCGTCGTCCTCGTCCTCCTCGTCCTCGTCGTCCTCGTCGTCCTCGTCGTCCTCGTCCTCCTCCTCCTCCTCCTCCTCCTCCTCGTCCTCCTCGTCCTCGTCCTCGTCCTCCTCCAGGGGGAAGAGCTGGTGGAGGTCAGGTCGTCCAGAGGCTGCCTCTGCCGATCCTCCCCCGTCCTGTGGCTCTCTTGAGGGGGGATCTGGTGCACCACGGCCTGAATGGCTTCGAACAGCATCACACTGCAGGGGTCCTCCTTCAGGAAAGGCCTCTTCTTTCCCCCGTACCTCATCCTGTGCACCAGCTGGTGAACCAACGTCCCCTCAAACAACCTGAGGGATGGGTGGAGGTCAACTTAATATTTTATTTCATTGCAAAAATAGTTTGGATACAACTAGAACATTAGGTGTGCCAAGAGAGGAGATGTAAATGGTCTACAAAGGCTAAACGCCTCCATTGGACTCCTTTGTTTACTACTGGAACATAGGAAAGTCTCACCTGGAGAGGGGGGGCTCAGGTAGTACTCACCTGGAGAGGGGGGATTCAGGTAGGACTCACCTGGAGAGGGGGGGCTCAGGGTAGCGGTCGGCCCAGCAGTTGGTTGAGCTGCAGGCTGGACTTCAGGCAGGACTGCCACTGGTTCAGAGAGTGAGACACCTGCATGTCCAGCTTCTGTCTGGGGGGGGGCAGGGCTGAAAAACACACACACACACACACACACACACACACACACACACACACACACACACACACACACACACACACACACACACACACACACACACACACACACACACACACACACCACACACACACACACACACACACACACACACACACACACACACACACACACACACACACACACACACACACACACACACACACACACACACACACACACACCTCTGAGTCACAGGCTGTATTCCTATTTGTTTTCATTGTCTGACACTTGATATACCTGAGTACATTTATTCAGGTACAATTTTGAGGTACTTTTGATGCTTTATTTGTTGATTCCACTCCACTACATCTCTGAGGGAAACATTGTATTATTTGTTCCCTCACAATCAATTCACAGCTTTATTTAATTTACAGAATTACATTTCAATTATCAAGAGAACGGTTTCACTGGAAATTGGGCGTGGCGGTATTAATGACAGGAAGTGACGCAGCGCTGCTCTCATCTTTTAATGAGTGTGTGTGTTTTACCTCCCCTGAAGGCGTCTCCGGAGCTCAGCCCGAGCAGCAGAGCCTTCAGCACCTCCTCGTCTGCAGGAGGCTGGGCTCTCTGCAGCCAGAAGCAGGTGACACACACAGGGAGGCGCAGGGCGGGAGGCACAGGGGCCAAGGAGGCCTCAGGGACCCCCAGGGCCTCAAGGAGAACCTGCAGACATAGAGAGGCCTCCGCCTGGGGGAGGAGGAGGAGGAGGAGGAGGAGGAGGAGGAGGAGGAGGAGGAGGAGGAGGAGGAGATGTCCCCATTTAAAAAACATTAAAACTGGCTAACAAGTGTCTAAATGACACGACTCAACGTCATCACGCCCAACATTAGCCGCCTTTAGCTTAGCGGTGGTGACGAGAAGTCATGTGACCATGCTTTACTTCCTTTATAGCCCAACATTAGCTGCCTTTAGCTTAGAGGTGGTGACGTGAAGTCATGTGACCGTGCTATAGTTCCTTTATAGCCCAACATTAGCCGCCTTTAGCTTAGCGGTGGTGACGTGAAGTCATGTGACCGTGCTGTAGTTCCTTTATAGCCCAACATTAGCATTTTACTTCAGAAATCTTAAAGTGGTGTTAGCATGTGGAGATTATCCTACTGAACTAAACATGTAAGTATCATAAAATAATCCAAAATCACATGGAGGTATCCCATTGGACCAGGGAGATGATTCCTTCAGGGTCCAACACAGAAATAACCAACCCAGTCTCACGGCATTTCGTGTTATTAGTCACGAAATTAATTTAATCTATTGATTCGTGTTCACCAACACGATTTTCACCTTTTTTTCGTGTCACACAGAACGATTTTAAATGCAATGTATTTCTATTGGTAGTATGTTTCGTGCCTGCAACACGTCTTTTTGTCCGGTCGGGTCTTGGAAGACCAGAAGCTGTGTGGTTCATAAAAACATGTTCTTACTCAATATCTTACAGTACCCTAAGCCTAACCCTATCCCTTTTATTTTAAATTGTATAATGTCTGAGTTTTTTTGCCATCAGTGAGGAAAAGAAATGAGGTTCAGAGCCTCAGAATACTGAAATCTGTATTTTATGTCATCTTTTTTTCTTTCTAATTTGTTATTATTTGGTGCAGGCACGAAACATACTAGCAATATAAATACATTGCTTCTAAAATCGTTCTGTGTCAGAATACTTAAATCTGTATTTTTTTAAATGTCTTTTTTCACCTGCCGCAGCGGCCTGGCGGTAAGGTGAGCGCTTGGTGCGGCGGCGAGATCCACGAAGACGCTGAATCTCATCCTCTGCAGCAGCAGCACGTCCAGGAATTCCGCCGGCAGCCAGGCCTGAATCAGAGGCAGCCGGGACCAGTCCGGGACACCAGCCACCTCCAGGGGGACAAAGTGAGGATACTTGTTAGAGGAGAAGGACTCACATCCTGTACTGGAGTTAAAGTAGAAGAACTCAGATCCTGTACTTGGGTAAAAGTAGAAGTACTCAGATCTTGTACTTGAGTAAAAGTAGAAGTACCAGAGTGTAGGAATACTCTGTTACAGTAAAAGTCCTGCATTCAAAATGTTACTGAAGTAAAAGTAGAACAAGTATTATCATCAAAATATAGTTAAAGTGGACCTATCATGCTATATTTGAATAATATAGTGTAGGACCATACTGATTGGTGGAGTTGACCCAATAGCCGTAGCGCCACTGTCCTGACGTCAGGACAGTGTTCAAATCTGGATCAGTTTTTATCAGATCTGTTGCAGCCCCTTTTTTAGAGATTTTTTATGGAGGAAAATAGAGAGGGTTGTGTTTTCTGACACTTGGTGAGTTCCCTGGAACACCGGGGACACATATTCATGTATAAAAGACGTACAAAAGTGCATTTTGCATGATAGGTCCCCTTTAAAGTAGCAACATTTAAAGTAGTCATTGTGCAGATTGGTCCATTTCAGAATAATATATATGATATGTTTTATAATCTTTGATTCATTAAAGTGTTGTCAAAGCTGGTAAAGGTGCAGCTAGTTTTAATGACTTTGTATACTGCCCAACAGCTCTTCCCAGGTCCAAACAGCGCAGTAATCCCATGCATTATTTGGAAAAACTTTATTTGGCAAGAAACGGTCTATAAAGCTGATATCAAAGTAATAGCTCTGAACGGAAGTTGGAACACAAAATAAGGCACACAAAATGTGGAAGCGACCTATATCAGGTGAAGAATGGAGGTGAATATTGAGTCTCTTTGGATGAAAGTTAAATGTTATATATTATCATTACTTCTGTGGAGAATGGAGGTGCTATCCCATGGATGAAGAACTTCTTGAGGGCGCTGGGAGGAAGTTGGTACTCCTCCATCCCCAGATTCAAGCCCTTCATCACCTCCGCCTTTTTGTTGCCGCTCAGTTCTCCCATCAGCCCCAGCGCCGCCTCGAAGGCCTCCTGAGGCTTCTGGAAGTTCTGCAGCCAGCACAGCAGCCCGTCCAGGTGGCCCGTGTTCCCGCCGCCTGCCGGGGCGAACTGATTCCAGCTGACGCCCGCCTGCAGCCGGTGTAGCTTCACGTAGTCGTTCCCGGCCAGGGCGGCGAAGGCGGGCAGGAGCTGGCGCTGGATTTGATAGAAGATGCAGAAGCTGGAGGTGTTGTAGCTCTTGCAGGGGATGTAGCTGTTGGAGCCCCTCCGCTCAACCATCTCCCACTGGAAGTGTGAGAGGGGCAGCAGCCCCTCCGGAAGGTCGCAGATGTAGAAGTCGCTGTCTCCGGAAAGCACCGGGCACTGCCACTCCCGGGCCAGGGTGGCGATCTCCGGGTCAGCCTCTCCATAGCACTGAGCCACCTGGACGTCCAGCCGCCTCAGCGTCTGTCGGAACACCAGCTTCACCAGCGTCGGCATGATGTTCTCGCGCTGGCCGCGCTGGCCGCCCTGCGCCGCTCGATGCACTTGTTTGATCCGATCCACTGTTCTCTGCATCACGGTTTCATTCTTCTTTTCTAAGATGTCCGATCCTCCGTCCAGCACTATGTAGGGCGTGATCTGACAGTCTCTGAGCGCTTTAATGCCGCAGTTCCACTACAGCGCGGAGCTCGCTTTAAGCGTGCCGTGTCGTGCCGTACCTGTTTTTGGTTGCGCTTCCACTAGGCCTAGTTACGGCCCGGCCCGGCCCGGGGCCACTTTTTCACCTCTTTTCTGGCCCGACAAAATTGTGGTTCTATCGGGGCCAACAAACAGGGCTGAGTCGGGCTGAGTATGCTAAACTAGAGAGAGGAGCGCTGGCAAGAGGGCTAGAACTACAACAAGATGGACATATTTGACCGTGATTTAATTGTAATACACGTTTCAAAATGATGCCGAAGTAACAACATACTGATACCGGTTAGTAAAAACCATGAATTAATGCTTTGTCAAGTCTGCAGACAGACGGCAGGCGAAAAACCTTTTAAAATGCGTGTTTTTCTAGATGGAGATTGGCTAAGCTAACGCAGTATATGCTCTGACCGTCCACACTCACAACAACGGCCTATACAGACATAAATAAAGCAGCGACTGTATTCACCATGACACAGGCAGTCTGTGGTGTGTACTTGTTTAACTTTTGTCGAGTTTCTGAACATATATAAGGAGCTGTGAGCTCTGAGTGCTAACAGCTAACGGCTGTGTTGTGTTTCTGGAGTTCTCATTGAAGATGACGTCACGGCTCCGCCTACACTGCGTTACTATAGTAACTACCCCAGTTCCTAAACTGTAATGGAAGCGCAGCATGAAGTGAGTCGGCCCTGTTAAGGCCCAACGCGGCCAAGCCGTACCGAGCCGTACCGAGTGTGGCCGAGGCCGACCGTGTAGTGGAAATGCGCCATTACAAACCTCTCAATAAGGGCCGCGAACGCAGTATACTCCCCGCCGTGATTCTGGTCCAGACCTGAGCAGTCAATAACAGGAAACACATGGAACACATTGAACACATTGAACACAGCAATACGAAAGCTCTTTTCACACATGCTCTGCAAACCTTCTTTTCCTCTCAGGAAGTTTCTAGCTGAGGAATTGGCCCGGAAGTCTTTAAGCTGCAGCTATGATAAGAGAGTTCTTTATATCATAGGAAAAGAGCCTCAATGCTTCCTTCATTATCTCCTTTAGGATACACCATCCTTTAGGAAAGGAGAGGAGATGATGCTGTCCCACAATTCCATGCACTAACCAAACATAACCATTCACAGAAACAACCAAACGCAGATCGTGTAAGTTACGCTGCTTATTGAACCACATCTTACTAACTAAAGTGTTTATATGTTATAAACATTCAACAATATGTTAAACCAAAAGGAGAAATATGAGCATTACGCTGATTTTTGCAAAATGATCAAATAAAGTTACAGCGTTTACCAGGGGCGTCGCCTGGACCTGAAAACATTCGGGGCTTAGCCCACAGTGGCGGCGGCACTACAGTGGCATTTTTCACTGCAACACTCCCCACACGCACACACACAGTACACCCGCGACTGTTACAATGAAGGCTCGATAATCAGCTCACGGCATATATGCAGGGGTAAAGTGGTGTTTTTTATGAGTGGGGGGCTCACCTTCTCTGGGGGGTCCGGGGGGATGCTCCCCCAGGAAGATTTTTTTTTTTAAATATTAAAGTTAAATGCATCAATCTGGTGCACTTTGAGAGCAAAATGAAGAGATCTATGGATACCTCTCTCAACACCCATATGAAGCAGAACTGTAAACAGATGTACTTTTTCTTTATGGATATTTTACTAATCACTCCCCTTTTAAACTCTATTCTTGTTTTACTGCCATATAGTATTTCATAACTGTTTTTCCTTTATTCTCTTATTTGTTTTATAACTATAATGATCATATGAAGGTGTGCCGCGGAAATAATCTTTTGAATAATTTGTGACCAAACCGTTTGAGACCCACTGAGATAACTTAGACTAAAGTTAACTATCTAAACACTCAGAGAGTCCTTTAGCTCACCTGAGTCTCTCAGTCTGAGAGGAGAGGACTCTCCTCTAGCTTCTTGTGGAACAAACAGCTCCTTATGTCCGTTAGTGCAGCTAGCTAACCAGATGCTAACAACACGGTCCATGCTGGCACTGGTCCCTCTCTCCCTCTCTCTCTCTCTCTATCACACTAAATGCGCTATTGCCACACACACACACAGAGCCAAGCTTGAATGACACAAGCACACGTTTATTTCCATGCAACTCTCTGATTGGTCTGGTGTCATACCTCTGTTGCATTCACTGAACACGGGAAATTACAGTGCTGCCGTCCTCTCTTGTGTCATGATGAGGTTCACGTAAAGCACGGTTAATGTATTATATTATTGAGGGAGAATTGTCCGGGGCTACAGAAAAAACATTCGGGGCTAAAGCCCCGGATGCCCAGGCCAGGCGACGCCACTGGCGTTTACTGAGTTGGGTTTTTTAAGATACTTTTTTACGGTGGCTGACAGGTGTAAACGCTCTACAACGGCATAAAACATTTCCATAGAGTGGCGAAGTCCCTCCCACTGACTTCCGGGGTATGGAACCTTATTCCGGAAAAGTTATGCATTGAAGTCAATGGGGAGAGAAAACTTATCTTTCGATCCCGTTTGAATTGTGCCATGAATTACACATATGATGTTTGTCAATCTTAAAAAATCATTTCCATGTCAAAAAAGTCACAGTTTGTCGTAAAACTGTTGAAATATAAGACTATGAAAAATACGTAACTAGAAAGACTACAAATCCCAGAGTCGCGTAAGTGATGTCACAATTGTTTACCTCCACCATTCAGATACCTAAGATCAGCGCAATATAGATATAATCTATCTATATGGCACTGGCTAAGATAAGATAACTTTAACAAGATGCCTGTGTGCTTAGTACCAGGTTGTTATTATACCAGCAATGGGTCTTGCTCGTTCTTTTGCTTCCCGTCTGATGAAACGACCAGGAGTGGCTTGATCAAGTTAGCTACCTAGCTAGTAGCTAGCACGTTAGTTAGCATTACAGCCTTGTCATTTTTATTAGCCTTAACATGAAGTAACATTAAGTAACCCAAAATGTTAAACAGTAAGAGTAGTAGTCATATTTCGTGAACCCTTTGAATAGTACTGTCACCGGTGTGATCATTCTATAATACACCATTTAATTCCGGGGGAGAAATGCTAACGCTAACGTTAGCATCGGCGATCTTTTCTACTTCATGCTATCTGCACAAATGGTTGACATTAAACATTAAAACGACCAGGCAGTTCAGAGAGAATCAAAGGAAGGCAGGCTTTGCATGACATTCTTCAGGACGTGTTTCATTGTGGTGATAGTCAATCGTTTGTTGACAAGACAGTAGTGACGGCCATCTTGGTGACGTGTGTGGTTGACCAGAGATGTAGTTCATTGAGCCTTTCACACAAACAAATGTGTTACTTCACAGTTTTACGACACATTTAAAAAATTTTGACTTGCAAAATTATCTTTTAAATTGACAAACATCATATGTGTAATTCGTGGCACAATTCAAACGGGATCGAAAGATAATCTTTCTCTCTCCATTGACTTCAATGCATAACTTTTCCGAAATAAGGTCCCATGGGGCTCAACCGGAAGGGGAGGGACTTCGCCACTCTATTAGGAGGAACATCCTGCGGTTTTATAACAGTGCAAATATAAAAACACAAATGTTCCTGTACACATGCAGAAACATCTTCAGCAACTTGACAACACATGCAGCATTTAGAAAACATTCAGCAACTTGAGGAAACATGCGCAGCGTTTACTAAAAGCCGCAGAAACCAAACGCTGCAAATACAAAACGCTGCAAGAAGCTCAAAACACAACGGAGACCAGTGGACTGTCATAGAAAAATATTCTGCTCATTTACTTACTTAAATAGAATCATTGTGTGATTGTTATTTGCTAATATTTATCTATATTTACTACTTCTCACACATTTTAGCTATGGGAAAAGTCTGTATTAAGAAAATGTGTTGCAATGTTGTTAGTTACACTCTATGTGCACCAACAGTATGACCTTCAACTCTGTTGAACTGAGAACATCCTGATATGGCCTCCCTAACTCCCTAAACTTCCAGAATGCTCCTTTCATTATCACCAAGCTCAACCCCTCCCTTTCTCCTCTCTGTGTTTAAATATGCAACCCAAACTCTATTCTTGGGCTGCAGTCGAATTGTCAGTTTTGCTTAGGAACCTTCCTAACGGAGTGAAATGACCCGGAAGTACCTCAGTGGCCACCATGATAAGAGCTGTTTGAATTCTCTAGATGATAGGAAAGGAGGTTTGAAAATGACTTGCGGCCGCAGCATTTGCCATCACACAACATTCGGCCGTTCACGGAAACAACCGATTATGACCAAGAAATTATATCATGAAAGTTACGGTGCTTATTAAGAGGGGTGCACATAACCTTCTCAGTGAGGTACTCAGATGAGTACCAGGAGTCAGTGTTTGGTACTCCAACTTCTGGCCCCATGTAAAGTTATGTGATGAAGCCCTGTGTCGCGAACGCCGGGGTGCTAGTGGGTGCAAATGTATTTATTATTGTATGAACATGTTTTAATTGGGGGGTGGACTTCACATCCTCTAGGGGGTCCGGGGGTATGCCCCCCGGCAAGATATTTTAAAACATTTTAAAGTAAAATGCTTCAATCTGGTGCACTTTGAGCAGAATTACTAGAGACTAGATCTAGGGGGTACAACTTTAAACACCCATATGAAAAAGATCGGTTTACATTTTAATAATCAAATAAGTATGTGAACATAACCAATAACCTACCATAGCCAATAACAAATAAATGTAACGTATTTTATTTTTGTTGTTCATTTATATCTTAGTTTTAGTTAACATTTATTTATTCATGCATTTTTTTTAATATCTCCAGTTTTAAACGATATTATTGGTTACTGTCCTATAGTATACATTGGAATGATTTCAAACCTGTTGTTATTTATCCTAATAATTATAAAGGTGTGCCTTGGAAATATTTGTTTACATCAATTGTGACCAAACCGTTTGAGACCCACTGAGATAACTTAGACCAGGGGCGTTTCCTGGACCTGGAAACATTTCAATAGTATGAAGCTGCAGCCTCGGAGGCTGCACTCTCAGGACCACACTCTCAGGACCACACTCTCAGGACCCTCGTTGTTTTGCAACATCGCCACCTAGCGGATTGGATGACCGCAAAAGTACAACCAGCGAGTATTGAGTCTCATACACTGCGAGTCTCTTTAGACATTGTAATGCTTGTTATTAACCATCTAAAAATGCATGAAAATATGTTTTTCTTACTGAAATTACATTATTATTATTATTAACAACAAGTTGTTGTTAATATGTTTTTGATTTTTAATAACAAATGTATTTTGTATGTCAGATGTAAAAAGATAGTCTTTTATATTTGTCTTATCAAATTTGACATACAACATAAATATATATATATATATATTGTAGTAATAATGATATAATCTATTTATAATTGTAAATGTATATTGTATGTAGACATACATTTAGATGTATATTTTGTTAAAAGAAAACTGTTAATTTAGTTTTTGGGAGAAGGGGTGGGGTTAAATAAGTGTAAACTCCTTTGAATCAATTTGATACTGCTTATGTTTCTACAGTATCATAATTCTCTTGTTTCATTTCATTATTATATATATTTTTTTTATTGTATTACACGTTCGAAATAAATCAAATCAAATGTGTCTTTGAAGAGGTGCTAGATTACTCAAAAACAACTGTTAGTGTGTTTATGCACCAGGCTGCAAAAGATAAATATGCAATTTGACGAGAGGAATTTCAGTGCAGAATACATTTTTATTTATTGGGCACTGTGGATTCTTCACTGGGGTGAGGCGGCGTCTGCTGTTCCCTCAACCACCAGACAACAGCTCCAGCTGCAGT